GAAGAGGAATGGAGAGAATGGATGTTCTTGTCTTGTTCCTGATTTTAGGGAAATGGCTTTACTTGTTCACCATTGAGCTTAATGCTGGCTGTAGGTTTGTCTTATACAGCATTTATAATATTGAGGAACATTACAAGGATTCCTATCTTCTCCAGGGTGTTGGATTTTTCTGCATTGATCAGGATGATCATGTGGTTCTTATCTTTGTTTCTGTTGATGTGTTGTTGTATGCTAACTGACATATAGGTTAAACCAAATTGGCATCCCTGGAACAAATCCAGTTTGACCATGCTATATGAGTTCTTTCATTAGCTTGGAGTTCATGTACCAGTATTTTGTTGAGAACTATCTCATCAATGTTCATGAAGGAGATAGACCTGAAGTTCCCTTTCCTCAATGTGGCCTTATCTACTTTGTGGATAATTGTAATGCCTGCTTCATAGAATGAATAGTGTTCCCTCACTTTCATTTTCATTGAAGGGTTTTATAATTGATAATTCTCCTTTATCCATATTTTAGAATTTGGTTGTGAAGGCATCAAGTCCTGGGCTTTTGTTGGAAGTGAGATATGCTATTGCCAGTTCAATCTCATTGTTTCTAATGGGTCGGTTTGTTCATTTTAATTTATATATTTGGTTTTACTTTGCATTGTTACTATAGAGTTGATACACAGAAGGCTCACAGTGACATGTGTTAGGTAATCAATATTGAACACAATTCTTTTTTAACCATGTCTCCCCTTCCATCTTTTTCTCCCAGTCTTTCTCTCCAGTCCATACACACAAGATGGCCAGTTCATCTTCCACATAGTGTCTAGTGGTTAACACTTGTTCCTCATTGTTCCAACTTTTATGTATCCCCATTACCCTCACAAATACAAACAAAAGGAGAAGAGACCAAAAAAGAGCCTTGATGGGAAACAAATGTCTTTTGTTTCCTTTTCTTAGAGTTCATTTCATAGCATATGATTTTATATGGCCATATATTATATAGCTATTGAGCCATCATCCCCTATTCCTATGCTTGTCCTCTCTTGGCCTACGTATGTTAATGTCTAGGGTCCTATATAAGTGTGTGTGCACATATATTTATTTACATATTTATATATTTACATATTTGTCAGTGTGTTTACTTGTAGATTTCTAGATATATTCCACTTACAGAAAACCAGGGAAAACATGCAAACGATATTTCTTTGGCTCTGGCTTACATTGCTTAATATAATTTTTTCAAAGTCTTTCCATTACCTTACGAATGGTAAATTATCATTTTTTCTGACAGATAAGTAGAATTCCATTTTGCATATATACAAAATTTTCTTCTATTTGTCCACTGAGGTTCATCTGGGTTGATTTCATACCTTGGCTATTTTAAACAAGGCTGCAATAAACATGGCTGTTTAAAGCTTTGGGCTTTACTGTGGTCTGGTTTGTGGTCCATTGGATATATGCCCAGGAGTGGCATTGCTGGGACAAAAGGAAGCTCTCTGTTTAGTCTTTTAAGGAACCTCCATACCGCTTTTCAGACTGGTTGAACAAGTTTCCAGTCCCACCAACAGTTTCATAGTATTCCTTTTAGGACACATCCCTGCCAACTTTTGGTAGTGTTACTTTTCCTGATAAAATCCACTCTAATTGGAGTTAGGTGCAATCTCAATGTTATTTTGATTTACACTTGTCTTGTGGCCAGAGATATTGAACACTTGTTCGTTTGTGTGTCTATTAGCCATTCTTTTTCTTTCTCAGAGAAGTCTCTCTTTAAGTCAGCCTATTTATTGATTGAGTTGTTGAGTTTGGGGAGGTTTTTTGGAGGGTTAATTTTTTGAGCCCTGTCTATATTTGAGATATGAGGCATTTGTCTCATGTGTACTGAATGAAGATTTTCTCTCATGCTGTGTGTAATTTATATTGTTAGCTATGTCCCATGCTATGCAGAAACTCTTCATTTTAATACAATCTCATTTATCCAGTTATTCTTTAATTTGTTTGATTCTGTATCTTTTAGAAACTCTTGTCCCATTCTAAGAAGGTTTAGGATATCCCTTATCTCTTCCTGTAATATTTGCATACTACATGGTCTTTAGTCCACCTACACTTGATTTTCGTACTAGGTGATCTATGGGTATCTAGCTTTGGTTTTCTGCATGTAGCTAACCCAATTTTGCCAGCACTATTTGTGTAACAGGATATCTTTCTTCCAAACTGTGTTTTGGGGTCCCTTATCAAATATTAAGGGGTTCTATATTTGTGGGATTGTTTCTGCATCTTCTGTTCCATTGTATTTGTCCTCAGGCCTAGTCTTGTGACACTAATAAGATATTTTTCTTACTATGGCTTTGAAATAAACATGATTCCCATCTTTGGTTAATTCCAAAGTATTTTCTTTTCTCTGCGGCTATTACAAATGATGTTGCTTTTCTGATTTCAGTATTGTTGGAAAACAGGAAGACAACTGATTTTTGTGGGTTAATTTTATACCACACTATTTTGCCAAAGGTTTAAGTCAACTCAAATAGCTTAGGTGAGAATTATGTAAGATTCTTTAAATACATGATCATATTGTCTGTAAAGAAGGATAGAATCCCTTTTTCTATTTAGATCCTCTTTATGTGTTCCTCTTCCCTTTTTTCTCTTGGTAGGAATTCTAGCACTATGCTGAAGACGAATGGAGACAGTGGGAACCTTTGTCTTGTTCCTGATTTCAGAGAGATTGGTTTCAACATTTCCCCATTAAGTACAATGCTGGCCCTAAATCTTGCATATATAGCCTTCATTATATTGAAGAACCTTCCATGGATTCTGAGTTTGTCCAAAGCTTTCAGAATAAAGAGGTGTTGGCTCATGTCAAATGATTCTTTGCATCTATTGAGATGAACATGTGGTTCATATGCTTGCTTCTGTTGATGTGTTGAATTACATTAATTGACTTGCTTATACTGAACCACGTTTGCAATCCTGGAATGAATCCCATTTGATCATAATATGTAAATTTTTTGATTACTCGATGAACTCAGTTGGCCAGAATTTTGTTGAGAAGTTATCTATCAACATCCATCAAATTGATGTGTCTATAGTTCTCCTTCTTTCATGGGTTCTTATCTGCTTTTGGAATGAGTGTTATGTTGATTTCATAGAATGAGTTTGGTAGTGATCTTTCTCTTTCTATTTCATTGAAAAGTTTGAGGAGTATGAGACTGAGTTGCCCTTTGAAGACCATATAGACTTCTGCTGTGATTCCATCTGGTCCTGGGCTTTTCTTGAAGAGGAGGTTCCTTATTGCCATTTCAATGGCTTTATTTCTTATGGATCCATTTGGTTGAGATAAATCTTCTTGGTTCATTTTGGGGATATCAATGCTCTCCAGAGACGCTTCTATTTCTCCCAGATTCCTGAATTGACAGTCATAAAGATTTCTGAAGTATTCCCTAATAACATTATGAATCTTGCTTATTTCTGTTCTGATGATCTCATTTTCAAGTCTAATTTTATTAATTTTGGTGTTCTTTCTTTCATCAGATTTTCTAAGGGGCTATCAATTTTGTTACATTTTTCAAAGGACCAGCCTTCCGTGTTGTTCATCCTCTAATTTTTTTTACCTCTAATAGCTTTATTTCTGATTTATTTTTTATTATCCACTTTTGTATATTAACTTTGGATTAGTCTTGTTCTTCTTGTTCTCAGACATTGAGTTGCATCACTAAAATGTTCATTTGTATTTTCTCCAATTTGTTGATCTCAGAACTATAAATTTTCCTGTGTTCTGTCTTTAGTATGTCCCAGAGGAGCTGGGGTTTCTTTGTAGTCATTGTTCTTACATTGTGTAATGATTTGGATTTCCCTTCTAATCTCCTCCAGTACCCATTGCTCATTCAATACTATGTTGTTCTCTATAAGTTAGATTTTTCTCTGACAGCTTTTCGGGTTGAGCTCTAATTTTCATCCAGTGTGGTCTGATAGGATTAAAGGAGGTAAGGATAATTTTTTTTTAATTTGCACAGGTTTGCTTTGTGACCTAACATGTGGCCTATTTTGAAGGATTGCCATGTGCTGCTGAGAAGAATATATATTCTAATGCTGTTGGGTAAGAGTCTGTATATGTGTATTCAATCTACTTGGTCGATTTAGTTTATAGTTCGAAGGTTGCTTTGGTGAGTTTTGCCTAGTTTATATACCCATAGATAAGAGTGATAAGCTGAAGTCTCCCATTATCAATATGTTTTGACTATGTGTATATTTAAATCAAGTAGTATGTGTTTGATGAAGTTGGGTGCTCCAGCCTTTGAAGATATTTCGAATTGTCGTATCTTTTGTATAGTTTGTTATTTGTTTAGTTAGTGTAGTACAATCAGTATAATATACACTAAATAATTGCCATATATAGTATATAGTATAAAATTTATATATATATCAAAATATAGTATAATTGTATAGTTCTCTTTATTAGTATGTAATGATCTTGTTTCTCTTTCTTTACTGATTTTAATTTGAAGTCTATTTTAGCATATTAGGATATTAGGATTGGTACTCTATCCTCTTTATTCCAAACTTTCAATTGGGGAATGCTCTGTCAGCAAGTTTTGTCTCGTGTAAGCAACACATGGACAGATCTTGCTTTTGGATCCAAGTAGTCAGTCTATGTCTTTAATTGGAGAGTTAAGTCCATAAATATTGAGGGTTAGGACGGAAGGGTGTCTGGTAATTCCTGCTGTGCTATTTCCAGCTTTAGGGGTTGCGAGCTTTTCCTGTTCTTAAAAATAAGTAAGGATCTCTGTGCCAGAGATCAGGGCTATTATGCATTGCAGTTTCTATGGGAATGCCTTATTTGGGACTCCTTTAGAAGAAGAGCCTTATCTCCAAATTGTAACTTGACCCTTCTTGATACTGGAGCTATATGCAGCTGCTACCAGCAGTGATGCTGTGTGGGAAATGTAATAGGGGAGGTAATCGTTTTTAGCCTTCTTTCCTGTGTAGAGGTGAGTTCTGGTGTTCCCAAGTGCCTCCATGGAAGTATGTGTTCCCTATGTGCGTTGGGGTCTGCTGGTGGAAGTTCTCATCAGAGTTTGGGAGTTGTATTTTGTTGGCACAGGTGCAGATCATGGAGTTGTTTTCCCAGTTGACTCTCTCGCTACATGTAGCATTGGTATCCCCTGGCAGGAGTTTGGGAGAGATTTTGGAGTTGTAGTTTCCTGGCAGAGAGGCAGAGCTAAGTCTCAGGGGACTCCCCTAGTAGTGAGTGACAAACAGTATGGGGAAAGAGTTTGGTTTCTTGCCCTCTTCAAATATGCTCCCTCCTCCTTAGGCAGGAGATTCAGTTAGGGCATTTTGGATAACCACAAGGAGCTGGTCCTCCAGGGAGGGTCCCAGTGGAGGATTCTCCGATTTTGGAGCCTGTTCTGAGCTGGCAAGAGGAGTCTTGGTGAGGGGCCTCTGTGTCTGAATGTGGCAATCTCAATGTCCTCTTCATTCCCCCCCCCCATACACACACACTGGTCCTGTGATTTCTCTCTCCTCCACTGTGTTGTGGCAGCTGCAGCAGCCTCTCAGTAGGGGTCCTCAAAGCTGATTTCAGATCTGACCTGTGTTTCCTCTTTGTGTTCCTAAGGTTACTTCAGTGTGGTGTGATTTCTTCAGCATTACCCTGGTCTTCTGTTATAAGTGTGGCATTTCAGGCATGTCCTTCTTAGTCTCCCAGGGCTGCCTGGGGAGGCAAGGAGCCTAAGCTGCAGCTGCTCAGCAGGAGTCTGCATGCTGTCTTGAAGTTTTCTGCTTTTGTGTTTCTGCCAGGAGATTTCTTCTTTATTAGAATTAGTCTCTGTAACCAAGGGACCCATCAGCTGCACTGGACATAGACCAAAATGAACTAAGCAACTCAATGGCAGTGATGGGAAGGAGGGAACAAGTGGGAAAGAGGCAACAGCTGATGCTATACAAAACAAAGAAATGTACATATCGCCCAATGTGGAAGAAATAACTGTATCAAAAAGATCTTAGAACTCATAAATGTTATAGACTGTAATGGACAATTTGCACCAGGAAAGTTAGAATGTGTTTATGACTTTAACTTAGTATCACAATCCCATAATGCTGTGAAATTTGGGGAATTATGTAACCACTAAATCACAATAAAAATTTGAAGAAAAAAAAAAGAATGAGTCTAAGGCTGGGAAGGAAGCTCAGTGGTAGGACGCTTGCCTTGCACGCTAGAGGCCCTGGGTTTGATTCCTCAGCACCACATAAGCAGGGGGGAAAAAAAGATGGAAGTGGCACTTTGGCTCAAGTGGTAGAGTGCTAGCCTTGAGCTGAAGAGCTGAGGGACAGCACCCAGGCCCAGAGTTCAGGCCCCAGGACCGGAGCCAAAAAAAAAAAAAAAAAACATAGAATGAGTCTCTGTGTAAAGTTTGATTGGAGTGCAGCTCTTAAGGTGACATATGTGCTGGTACCCTAAGTGTCTGTTTCAGCAGAAACACATAGGGAGATGACTTGTCATGATGCACCTTCTTCCTGAAATTGTCAGGTCTGTCTTTGAAGTGCAATCATTACGGTATTGACTTGAGATTTTCTGTTGTTGATATAAGCACGTACAGACATGAATTGGCCTGAGAACTGCCTTGTTGTGTGCCACATTTGACATTTTATGTATTCTTTTCCATTAAATCCAAAAAACAATTAAATTTCATTGCTTTTACCTCAAAAACCTATTGAAGAGTATGCAATGAATTCTTCAGTTTCCAGGAGCAAGTATTTTCTGTGATTGGTGTTGCCGTTGCACTCAACTTTTATCGAATTCACAGAATACAGGATATACAGCCTTGTATATTTTTATTTTTATTTTGGACTGAAAAACTTACGTTAATATTGCTGGTGGGATAGGTCTAGTGGAGATATAATCGCTTACCTGTGTTTCTCTGGGAATATCTTTATTCTTCCTTCATTTCTAAGGGTATCTTTGCTAGATAAAATAATTTTGGTGGATAATTATTTTTTAATCCTCTGTACTACAATGATCTCCTGCCATGTTCTTCTGACTTATATGGAATCTGCTGAAGAGTAAGCTCTTAGGAAAATGGGAGCACACCTATATGATATGGGTCCCATTTCTATTATACTTTTGAGAACCTTCCTTTATATACATTTCAAGTGTGAGTGTTTCATCATAAGACAGCTTGCTATAGATGTCATAGTCAAAAGTCTGATTATCCTTTCATGTTTAGGTCATCGAATTTTTCTCTACATTGAATTCTTCTCTACATTTGTTTTTTTTTTCAAAATACTGTTGTCAACTTTTACCAAACCTTTTCCATACATCATCATTCTTGCTTTGTTTATTCATAAATATATGTATGTTAATTATGTTTTTCCTCAAGCTCACTATACTTTCCTGTTTAGAATACTTCACAAAAAATTATAGGCTTTCATTGTGATCATTTCATATATATCTACAGTATATGTTGACTAAGATAATCCTTTCATTAATATTTCAAATGTGCCTTCATTGTTTCCTCTTAAACAATGCCAGTTAATTTCACTAATGTCTTTAGTATACATACAAGTGAATGGAGGCACTTGAACATATGAACACACAAATACACACACAGACACACACAAAAGACACACAGAAAAAAGGAAAAGTACTTTGAGCCTATTTATTTTGCTCTTTGGCCTCTTTTCAGTTTTTCACTCTAAGTGTACTGGGAAGACAGTAACGATCACTGCATTTTTACCATGGGGGCCTTGGAACTGGGATTTGAATGTAAAGACTGTTTACAATTCTCTCTTCAACGCTCATATTGTGGGTTCTTCTCTCCGTAATGAGTTCCTTGGAATTGGATGCATCTCTTTTGTTTTGTTACATAAATAAAAATAAAAATCCCTCACCAGGTATTAGAGCTCTTGTTCTGCTGGTTATTGCGGTAAGAGCTGTTCAATATGCTGGGTATATGAGCACAGCTTGCTACAGGATAGTTCACAAATAACACTTTGCTTCTGAAAGTTGCTCTTAAATTGAACATTGATTGATTAGCCTGACCTGCCATATAAACACATAATATCTGGGTGACATATATCCATCTAATCTTCTATAAGGGAGATAAAAAAATAGAACCCAAAGACATATATCCATCTAATCTTCTATAAGGGAGATAAAAAATAGAATGGAAGAAAGACAGCCTCTTCAGTACAAGGTGCTGGCAAAATTAATCACTTGTAGAAACTAAAGCTAGATCCTTATCTATCACTCTACACCACAATCAACACCAAATGGATCAAAGACCTTGGAGTCAAAGCAGACTACCTGAAAACATTACAGGATGGAATAAGAGAAACCCTAGGTCTCCTTGGCACAGGCCAAAATTTTCTTAATAGAGTCCCAGAAAGACAAGAAATCAAAGAAAGGTCAGACAAATGGGTTTGCATGAAGCTGCAAAACTCCTGCATGACAAAGGACATAGCTAGCAAGATCAAAAGAAAGCCTACGGATTGGGAGCAGATCTTCATTAGTCATAAAATGGACAGAGGTCTCATATCTAAAATATACTTGGAACTCAAAAAAATAAATCCCCCAACAACAAATCCTCAAAGAAACAACCACCCAATAAACAAGTGGGCTAAAGATTTCAGAGAAACTTCTCCAAAGAGGAAATAAAAATGGCCAATAGACACAGGAAGAAATGCTCAACCTCTCTAGCCATAAAAGAAATGAAAGTCAAAACAAAGTTCATTTTTCGACATAGCGTCTTGTACATCTCATTGTTGCAATGGGTCCACTTGTATCCCTATTTAAACAATTTGTTTTTTCCCTTCCCCTCCACAAATTATACCAACATCAAATACAGTGAAAACAGGGGTTACACCGTGGGGAAGGGACATACAGAGCAACCAAGAAATCATCTTATAAATATGTTGGAAACAATCGCAAGAAAGAGAAAACATTTGAGTCCTTATCTTCAGGTTCATTTCGACTAACATCAACTTATCTGACCGTTTCTGCTTGTCTCAGACATATACTAGTTACTGCAAATAAGAGAAATCATGAGACCTATGTTTCTTTGGGCGTGGCTTACTTCATTTAGTATAATTTTTTCCAACTCTCTCCATTTCCTAACAAATGGGGCAATGTCATTTTTTCTGATGGAGGCATAGAATTTCATTGTGTATATATACCACATTTTCTTGATCCATTCATCTACTGAGGGGCATCTGGGTTGTTTCCATATCTTAGCTATGGTAAATAATGCTGCAATAAACATAGTTGTGCTGGTAGCTTTAGTATGGTCTTGTTTGTTATCATTTGTATAAATGCCCAAAAGTGGGATTGCTGGGTCATAGGGGAACTCTATGTGGAGTCTTTTGAGGAACCTCCATACTAATTTCAAAGTGGTTGAAGAAGCTTACACTCCCACCAACAATGCAGTAGGGTTCCCTTCTGTCCACATCCCCTCTAGCATTACATACCACCACAACCTAGTTAGAATGGCTGTAATCAAAAATAATAACAACAGATGCTGGAGGGCATCTGAACAGAAGGGAACCTTACCGCATTGTTGGTGGGAATGTAAACTTGTTCAACCACTGTGGAAAGTAGTGTGGAGATTCCTCAAAAGATTCCACATAGAGCTCCCCTATGCTGCAGCAATCCCACTTTTTGACATTTACCCAAATGATCACAAGCAAGACCATAATAAAGCCATCAGCACAACTATGTTTATTGGAGCATTGTTTACTATAGTGCAGATATAGAACCAACCCAGATTCCATTCAGTAGATGAATGGATCAAGAAAATGTCGTATATAAACACAATGGAATTCTATGCCTCCATCAGAAAGAATGACATTGCCCCATTTGTTAGGAAATGGAAAGACTTGAAAAAAATATATTAATTAAAGTAAGCTAGGCCCAAAGAAAAACAGGTCCAATGCTTTCCCTTATTTGCAATAACTAGTACATATCCTCTGAGACAAACAGAAAAGGTCATATAAGATGATGTTAAGCAAATTAACCACAAGGTAAGGACACAAAAGGTTTTTCATTTCTTGCTATTGCTTCTAACATATTTATAAGGTACCACGTGGTTTTTTGTTGCTTTCTATGTCCCTCTCCCATGGTATAACCCCTCTTTTCACTGTATTTGATGATCATATAATTTGTGGAAAGGAAGGGAAAAACAAATTGTTTAAAGAGGGATACAGGTTGACCCACTGCAACAATGAGATGTAGAAGATGCTTACCAAAAAATGAACTTTTCAATTTAGTCAGGGAGAGGGAGGGATTTGTGGAGATGGTAGGGAAGGGATGGTAAGGGGAAACAAAGGAGAAGACAACAATGCTTGAAAAGGATTGTACTCATTACCGTGCTCATGTAACTAACTTGTCCTCCGTAGAGTATTCTCACAATGAAAAACATTTAAAAAAATAAAGTGGGTGACAAAACCACAAGATTTATTTTCACACAGGTGTAGCTAGTTGCCCTAAGATAAAGGCAACAGAATATTTCCTGTCTCATAAAAATCTATTCCAACAGATTTTGGCTGTAGTGAAAGTTTGGTGGGGGGAAGCAAGCTCTCTCTCTCTATTTAACTGAGTTTCTGAATCATATTCATGACAAATGCCCTTCATGTCTTCATCTAATTCTCTGTACAACCATCACACATTACATTCATATTCCATTCCAATTGGGGTAATAATTTAAAGAATTTGTTGGCAAAGAAGCAAGTATTTACTATACTAAAGTCATAAGTTTTTAATAATCCTCCTATATGTGTATGCCAATTATGCAGGTTTGTGTTCAATAACTATCAGTTTGTGTTGGCTTTGGCTTTTGCTATTGAGGAGATCAACAAAAACCCTGATTTTTTAAGTAACTGGACTCTGGGATTTGACGTCTATGATGTTCAAGTCAGAGATTTCACAATGTATAAGAATCCCTTCATGTGGCTCTTTGGGAAGTACAAGATTCCAAACTACTCCTGTATGAGAGACAGAAGGTCTATAGCAGTACTTACAGGACCATTAGGATTCACATCTGACAAAATTGGAACATTGCTGGGACTCTACAGATTTCCACAGGTAAGAATGGTGGTGTGAAAAGTTATAACAATGTCTACTTTGATGTCATTTCAGGTGTTAGAAGAGAATGATAGGAGAGACTGGATTTATAAACCTATCAAATTTTGTGGTATCAAAGAATAAGTATATAAAGATATATATAGATATATATATCCACTGTTTGGAAAAGGATACGGAAAAGTTAGAAAAGACAAATAGATAATTTATTGTTGCAAGCCTATCAATAATCTCCTTTGAAAGAATGAGTAAATGTAAAATGAATTGGCACTGTGAATATATTAAGCAGAGTACTACTGGTCCACACCAGTAATTCTAGCAATTCAGGAAACTTGTACCTAGAATAACCAGCAACAAGCTGGTATACCAACAAGTTGGCTCAAGTGGTAGGCAAGTCTTGAGAGAAAAATCCAGCAAAGTGCATGAGGGCATGAGTTTGTGCCCCTCTACTGGAATGTATGTGCACAATCATACACACACATAAACACACACACAAACAAACACATACACAAGATATTATGTTGAATGAAGTAAGTTAGGCTCAGATTGAGATGGGGAATGTGTTCTCTCATATGGGAGAGCTAGATCTAAAATATAAACATGTATCACACACATAGCTTCGTGTGTGTGTGTGTGTGTGTGTGTGTGTGTGTGTGTAACCAACGTGACTAAAGAATGGTATATAAACAGGTGAAACAAGATGCTATGACTTTTGTTATCTACTGACATTACAAAAATAAACACCATAAACCTGAAGCATAACTGAGAAGGGTAAGTGTTGAGGGAAAACATAAGAGGAATAGGGAATCGATGGGATGGAATACACAGAACACTCACTGTACATATGTGAAAATGGAACTATAGAGTGGGTGGGGTTGATATAGATGGGAGGAGTTTATGGAAATAGTGACAAAGATCAAGAGACATTTTACAATTTATATGTTATACAACGCCTCAAAAACAATTGAAACATTTTTTCAAAAACTAAAATGAAATCTACCTTCCACCTACTTCAACTGCTTCTTCACATACATCAAGACTCAAGTTTTGATGGATGGTAATGCTCTAATTCATAAAGCATCCAATTTCCTTTCCATTTAGCTTACCTTTGGGCCTTTTTCTCATGCCCTGAGTGACCATCACAAGTTTCCTGCTCTCTATCAGATGGCTCCAAAGGACACATCGATAGCCACTGCCATGGTCTCCTTACTGCTTCACTTCAGCTGGAACTGGGTGGGACTATTGAACTTGGAGGATGAGAATGGATTGTGGTCTCTAGCTGAATTGAAAGAAGAGATGGCCAAGAACAGAGTTTGTATAGCCTATGAGCTAGTGATCTCAAGCCAATCAATATCACATATACTCCAAGCCATGGCAGTTTATAATGATATAAATAAATCTTCAACAAATGTATACATCATACATGGTGATAATGGTTCACTAATACCTTTAATTGTGTGCATTGAGCAACTTTTAATAAAAGGCAAAGTTTGTATCATGAACTCAGAGTGGGATTTCACCATGAAAAGGAAATATTTCATGCTAGGCTTATTGCATGTACCTCTCATTTTTTTACACCATCATGAAGATGTTTCTGGATTCACAGATTTTGTCAAGGCAGTTAATCCTTCCAAATACCCAGAAGACATTTTCCTTGCTAGGCTGTGGTTTCTGTCATTTAATTGCTCAAATCCTCAGTCTGACTGTGTAACATGTCAACTGTCCTCATGATGCCTCTTTGGATTGGTTGCCTGGGCGTGTTTTAGACATGACTATGTCTGGATACAGTTACAATATATACAACGCTGTGTATGCTGTGGCCAAGGCTCTCCATGAGATGCTTCTTCATCAGACAGAAGTTCAAATAATGGGAAATAGAAAAGGGACACTGCCTTCCCCTGCACAGGTAATTCCATCTATGTGGATGGCACATACTATGAGGAGTGGCACTTCCTAGAAGGTGTGTTATTCTCTTAAATTGAATGTTTCAGGTATTTTTGTAAGTCTCAAACATTTAAGCCCAGTCTGGTTTAAATGGTCATACTCATATCTCAGCCTCCTGAGTAACTGGGATTACAGGTGTGAGTAACCAGTAATCAGCTTATAAATTCATTTACTTGTAAATAACCACAATGTGCCCATAGCTAATCTTTTTAAAACTAAATTAGGATTTTCCCTATACATTTCTTCAGGAATATCAAAGGATGATATGCTGAACAGAATTTTCCATAATTTTTAAATATGGGATCTAGTTTCCCTAAAATTTGGTAATAAAAATTGAACATTCTCAAACTATAGACATTAATAAAAATAGTTTCTGATCAACTCTAGCTATGCAACTGAGAATTGTCTCATTCGTGGCTATATAGCATAGGTTTCTCTTGAACAAAAGCTTGTACTCTTTTCTGAGTGACAAGGATTCAGAAAATTATTTTTATTCCTCCTTACATTGTTTAGACAGATACTTCAATCATTCTCAGTGCTATTCTTGAATTCAAAATTGCCTTTAGGTAATGAGTAGCATTTCTTAATTCACATTTTGTGTTTTACCTTTGGGATTTACTTCACCATAATATGATGTCTCTCTTCAGTTGCTCCATTTTCTGAAGAACATCCAATTTCACGATTCTGTTGGACATCAAGTGATTCTGGATGAGAAAAGGAAATTGGAGCCAGACTATGACATTCTGAACATTTGGAATTTTCCAGAAGGTCTTGAACTTGAGGTGAGAGTAGGAAAGTTTTCTCCCAATGCTCTACATGGTAATCAACTGTTTTTATCTGAAGATATGGTAGAGTGGGCCATTGGAAATACGGAGGTGAGTTGGGTCTAATCCTAATAATTTTTCCACACACAAATAAACAAAAGTCACCCTTGATATTTACACTTGCCTGGGTGTCAGCAACTTTCTCCCATAAGCCTACCTACTCAGATACTTGAGATCTGAATATCATGATTTAAAACTCAGCCCAAACAAGAAGGTCTGCGAGACTGTTATCTCCAGTCAACCAGCTGTGACTGAGTAATGCAATAATAACTTTGAGCAAAAAATTCTCTAGGCCAGTGCCTAGACATTGGGTTCAAGCCCAGGATGGGAATTAAAAATATTACATGTGCTCCTAATTTTTGATTCAGAATATTGTCAGGTTATAGTTTCCTATTTCCTACACTGGGATAAATTACCTGACACATAAATTTATGTGCTCAGAAGCTTTATTGGTTTCCATTATGTAGAGGTTTCATTCAATGGTTAGTTGATCTGCCTTTTAGGCATCTTTGGTGAAAGGAATGACTGAATATGCCATTATGAAGATTCATTCTTCATGACCACTGGAAACCTAAGAGGAAAATATGATGGACCTATAAAAGGGAGGTCGTTCACCAGGTTTTTCCCCTTGTCGCAGATAAGTAGGAGACAACATATAATGACATGAGTTTAAGAAAATTCTGTAGGGTTATAAAAGAGGACTCATTTTCTCACCACAGGTTTCACCCTTTCAAAGATCCCATACTGTACTTTAGTTCAACAGGCTAGCACAAAAGTCTTTAGAAATCATGGGATATGGAGTCTATAACACAATTCAATTTATCAACTGCACTTAGCTACATAGCAACATTATGCTGAATAACCAATTCTTTCCAACAATGGGTTTTTGGAGTTTTAGCTATGAAAGTTTGAAGACTTATGGACAGATACCTGATTTTCCTCAGACTCCTCGCTCTGTCTGCAGTGAGCCTTGTGGTACTGGATTTAGGAAATCTCCTCAGGAAGGAAAGGCTGCCTGTTGCTTTAATTGTACCCCTTGCCCACAGAATGAGATTGCTAATATGACAGGTAAGTCTGAGACTCTCCTCAGTTTTCCTCAACCAAACAAGTCAATGCAAAACTTGTACATTGTGATTACAGACCCCTTTTTCCTTTTCTCTGTTAATAATTTAATTTTGAGGGGCTGGGAAGGTGGTTGGGTGGTAGAGTGCTTGATTTGCATGCATGAGGCCCTGGGTTTGATTCCTCACCACCACATGAGCAGAAAAAAAGCCAGAGGTGCTGCTGTGGCTCAAGTGATAGAGCACTAGCCTTGAGCTGAAGAGCTGAGGGACAGTGCCCAAGCCCAGAGTTCAGACCACACAACAGGCCACAAATAATAATAATAATAATAATAATAATAATAATAATAATTTGACAAGTGGTGGTACTGTTAGGTGAAATGTGATAGGTCATGAGCTTGAATTGCATATTTCAGTAATATTTTCTACTCTATTGCAGCGGGCAAACTTAGCTCCATAAATCCCACTTATCACTCAGGATTAAGACAAGTATAAACCCTAAGATGAAAGTAAACATGTCTTATTGGACAGTGCTCACCTTTTTACTCAAACAGGAAATATAGATCTTGCACATCTTTGTTTCTCTCTGCCCAGCAATGTTCATGGCACAGAGAAAGTACTCAGAAAGGTGGATTGACTTTAAAAAGTTAGCATGACTATAAAGGGCCCAAGAAGGGCCCTTCACAGATGAGTTGGAGAGAAAAATAGGATGAGATGAATTCAAGAAGGTGCAACTGGGATAAAATTAATATTTTACAAAGACATGTAATTAAGTGTAACCCATAGTATTTATTGTGGATTGCACAAACAGTTAATAAATGTTAAGTAAAATATTGTTAGGACATGAGAAATGACCCAAAGTGCACATTATAAATACATATTATAATGACTGAAAGAAAAAGGAGTTGAATGAAAAAGTCTGAAAAAAAAAGTAGATGGAAATGGGAGGAGGTTATGATTTAGAAAAGACATAAAGTGTATTAATATTTACTAATGATATGTTATCATTACATCTAAGGGAATATTTTCCTAATTTCTTTGAAGTAAAAGAAGTTCAAAATAAGAACTAATGGTAACTTACACTCTTTATCAGAGATGGAGCACTGTGTGAAATGTGCAGATCATCAGTATGCGAACACACAGAGAAATCAGTGCCTCCTGAGAGATGAAAGTTTCCTGGCTTTTGGAGATCCCTTGGGCATGGCTCTGGCCTGCATGGGTATTTGCTTCTCTATGCTAACTGCTGCTGTTTTGATAATATTTGTGAAACACCAAGATACTGCCATTGTCAAGGCCAATAACCGGACTCTCAGCTACATCTTGCTCATCTCCCTCATCTTCTGTTTCCTCTGTTCCTTGCTCTTCATTGGCCGTCCCAACACAGTCACCTGCATCCTGCAGCAGATCACATTTGGACTTGTCTTCACTGTGGCTGTTTCCACAGTGTTGGCCAAAACAGTGATTGTGGTCCTGGCCTTCAAGTCCATTTCTCCAGGGAGAAGGATGAGGGGGTTGCTGGTATCAGGGGTTCCTAACCTCATCATCCCCATCTGCACCCTCATCCAGGTGACCCTCTGTGGACTCTGGCTCAGAACCTCTCCTCCCTTTGTGGACACAGATGCACACTCTGAACATGGCCACATCATCATCCTGTGCAACAAGGGCTCCCTTACCACCTTCTACTGTGCCCTGGGATACCTGGGCTCCCTGACCCTGGCCAGCTTTACTGTGGCTTTTCTGGCCAGGAACCTGCCTGACACCTTCAACGAAGCTAAATTCCTGACCTTCATCATGCTGGTGTTCTGCAGTGTGTGGCTCACCTTCCTGCCTGTCTATCACAGTGCCAAGGGGAAGGTGATGGTGACTGTGGAGATTTTCTCCATCTTGGCCTCTGGTGCAGGGCTCCTAGGCTGCATTTTTGTCCTCAAATGTTACAATATATTGTTAATGCCCAATAGAAATTCTCTGCATGGCTTTAGGGAAAAACGTCAACATAGTAGGAAAAATTAGCTTTCTTATGAAGAATCTCCTATGTTTGATTACGATACAGAAGGTGTTAACTAAATCCAGAGTCATTTTCCATTGTTTTATTACATTGTAATGTGGATTTTAACTTCAATGAATAAGGGTCTTTTGCTCATTTGTCTTTTTTTCATTTTCTATTGCACAGAGGGGTTACAGTTGCATGAATAGGGTAATGAACACATTTCATAGCAAGTGTTGTTACCTCCTCCTTTATTTTCCCCCTACCAAAACTTCCAGCCCTGCTTCCACAACTCGTCCGCCACCCCCTCCCTGACATTGTAACATTCATTTTCAATATAGGGTCCTGTACATCTTGTCCTCACAATGGGTCAGCCTGCATCCCCATTTAAGCATGCTGCAATATCTCTTCCACTCCCCAAATTACAAAAATGTATATACAAGGTGCAGAATACCAGCAACAAATCCAGTGAAAACACGGGTAATACCATGGGGGAAAACATACAACAAATAGAAAAAAAAGGATCACATAGTGCATTGTAACTACATTAAACACACTAGCACGTACGAAAAAAAAAAACCTCTCTGTCCCTGTCTTGGGGTATATTTTGCTTAACATTATCTCATGTGGTTGTATGTACATACCCTTTGACTTTCTCTGCTTGTCCTAGACATGTACTAGTCACTGTAAACAAGGGAAACCAGGTGACCTATGTTTCTTTGGGCTTGGCTTCCTTCACTTAATATAATTTTTTCCAAGTTTTTCCATTTCCTAACAAAAGAGGCAATATCATTCTTTCTGATGGAGGCATAGAATTCGTATTTTTTTCTTGATCCATTCATCTACTGTGCCCATATGGATTGGGTCCATATCTTACCTATGGTAAATATTGCTGCGATAAATATGCTTGTGCTGATAGTTTTGGTATGACTTTCTTTACGATTTTTTTGGTAAATGCCCAAAAGTGGGAATGCTAGATCATGTGGAATCTTTTGAAGAACCTCCTTACTGCTTTCCAAAGTCATTGAACAAGTTTACCCTCCCACCAACAATGCAGTAGGGTTCCCTTTTGGCCACATCCCCTCTAGCATCTGTTGTTACAGGATTTCTTGACTATAGCCATTCTAGCTGGGGTGAGGTGGAATCTCAAGGTTATCTTGATTTGCATTTCTATTATGGCTAAAGAGGTCAAGCATTTCTTCATTTGTCTATTGGTTATTCTCATTTCCTCCTCATAGAAGTCTCTCTTTACTCTTTAGCCCATTTGTTAATCGTGCAGTTGTTTCTTTGAGGATTTGTTGTTGGGAAATTGAGTTTTTGGAATTCTAAGTATATTTTAGATATGAGACGCTTGTCTGTTTTATGGCTACTAAAGATCTTCTCCAAGTCTGGGGGCTTTCTGTTGATCTTGCTAGCTATGTCCTTTGTCATGCAAAAGCTCTGCAGTTTCATGCATTCTCATTGGTCCAAAGTTTCTTTGATTTGTTCTACTTCTGGGTCTCTATTAAAAAAATTTAGGCCTGTGCCAAGGACCCCTATTCCGTCCTGTAATATTTTCATGCAGTCTGCTTTTATTTGGAGGTCTTTCATCCATTTGGAGTTGATTCTGGGTAAGATGATACATACGGATCCAGTTTTAGTTTTCTACAAGTGTTTAACCAATTTTACCAGCACCATTTACTGAAAAGACAGTCTTTCTTCTATTCTATTTCTTTAGCTCTCTTGTCAAAGATTAGGTGGCTATAAGTCTGTGGGTGCATTTCTGGGTCTTCAGTCCTATGCCATTTTCCCTCAGGTCTGTTCTTGTGTCAGTACCAAACTGTTTTGATTACTAGGGTTTTGTAGTAGAGTTTCAAATTTGGAATTGATATTCCTCCAGCACTATTCTTTTTAGTAAAGATTGTTTTTGCTATCCGTGGTTTTATTGTTCCATATGAATTTGTGGATTGCTTCTTATATTTCATTACATAATGAGGTTGAAATACTGATAGGTATCACATTGAATTTGTAGATAGCCATTGGCAGTATTGCCATTTTCTCAGTGTTAATCTTCCCAATCTGGGAGCATGGGGGAGAGGGGTGTTTCCACATGCTTAGTTCTGTTTTAATTTCCTTTGCCAGATTTTTAAAGTTTTCATCATACAGGTCCTTCATCTATTTTGTTAAGTTAACTGCTAAGTATTTTATTTTTTGTGGGGCTATTACAAAAGGGGTTGCTTTCTAATTTCAGCCGCACTCTTCTCATTATTGGCATACAGGAAAGCCATTGAGTTTTGAGGGTTAATTTTATCCTGTGCAACTTTGCCAAAGTTTCTGATCAGCTCAAGTAACTTGGGAGTGGAGTCCATGGTGTTCTTTAAATACAAGATAGTGTCATCTGAAAGAGGGAGAGTTTTACTTCATGCTTTCTGATTTGGATTCCCTTTATGTCTGTATCATGTCTTAATGCTGTAGCTAGGCATTCTAATACTAGGTTGAAGAGGAGCTGGGAGAGTGGACACCGTCGTCTCATTCCTGAATTTAGATGAAATGGCTTTAACTTTTCATCATTAAGTATAATTCTGGCTGTAGGTTTGTCATATACAGCCTTTATTGTATTGAGGAATGTTCCATGGATTCTTAGATTTTCTAAAACCTTCATCATAAAGGCGTGTTTGATCTTGTGAAATGCTTTTCCTACATCTATTGAGATAACTGTGTGGTTCTTATCCTTGCTCTTGTTGGTGTGATGAATTATCCTATTTGTTTTGCGTATATCCAACCAGCTTTGCATCCCTGAAATGAATCCTGTTTGATTGTGGTGTACAATTCTTTTGATGAGTTGTTGAAGTCGATTGGCCAACATTTTCTTTGAAAGATATTGAACAAAAATGTGTCTATGGTTCACGTTCTTTAATGAGTCCCTCCCTCATTTTGGTATGAGGGTTATGCTGGTTTTATACAAAGAATGTGGTAGTGATTTTTGCTTTCCTTTTATTAAAGAGAAGGAGGAGTATTGTTGTAAATTCTGCTTTAAACACCTTATAGAATTCAGCTCTACATCCATTAGTTCCTGGACTTTTGTTGGCTGGGAGCTCTTCTATTTCTGCTTCGATTTTGATGCTTGATACAGGTCTGTTGTTTTAAATCATCTTAGTTTAGGGCATGTCAATATTTGCTACAAATTTATCCATATCTTTCAGATTATCAAATTTATTAGCATAAATTTTTGAGAGTATCCCCTTAATATATTCTCAATCTTGGTTGTTTCTGTAATGATGTTTCCACTGTCATCTCTTGAGTTTTGTCATTTGGGTGTGTTCTCTTCTTTTTCTGGTAAGATTTGTTAAGGGTCTGTCAATTTTATTCATTTTACAAAGAACAAACTCTTTGTCTTTTTCATTTTTTCTCTTGGTTTTGGTACTCTAATTGATTTACTTTGGATTTAATTTTAATTATTGGTGTCCATCTAGTGGATTGGGGTATAATTTATTGTTTTTTTTTCTTTTTTGGTGGCCAGTCGTGGGGCCTGGACACTGTCCCTCAGCTCTTCAGCTCAAGGATAGCGCTCTACCACTTGAGCCACAGTGCCACTTCTGGCTTTTTTCTTTTTGCTTGTGTGGTGCTGAGGAGTCGAACCCAGGGCTTCATGCAGGCAAGGCAAGTTCTCTACCACTGAGCCACCTTCCCAGTCCTTGTTGTTCTTTTTCAAGGAGCTATAGGGGCTTCATTAAATTGTTCATTTCAGGTCTTTCCAATTTGTTGATATAGGAACTCAGAGCTATAACCCTGCCTCTGAGTACTGCCTTTGCTGGGACCCAGAGGAGCTAGAAATTTGTGTGATCATTTTGTTGAATATCATGAACATATGAATTTCCTTTCTAATCTTTTCCATGCTCCACTTGAGATTCAACAATGGATTGTTAAGCTTCCATGTGTTACAAGATTTCCTTTGGGGGCTTCTGGTGTTGAATTCTAATTTAATTCCCTTGTGGTTTGGGAGAATGCAGGGTATAATGAAGGAATTTTTATGAGGGCCAGCTGTTTAACAAATGAACATGTAAGTATACTATATTTCCAACTTCTTCCCTATGGTAATCCAGATATGATCAAAATACTTTGTCAGTTTCTAGAGTTTTGTCTAGCTTTCTTACTTTACAATTTCATTATTACATTTGATTTTATATTACTGTGTAAAATACTGAATCCTCATTGTGTTATATGAAGTGGATGGGAAAATATTTGATTTTAGTGTTTGGCATAGTTTTGTGTAATTCCTGCTAACTTTGTCATAGTAGAGATTTCAGTAAATTCACACAACCCTCTTTTCTCTTAAATGAAGGAATGAAGAGAATGCATACATGGATGGTTTGATGTGTTGAAGCAAGTTTTTATAGAAGCCATGCATGGAGAAAGCCAATGGCACATAAAAGAGAAGTTCGAATAAAAATAGGACAGAAAAAGGAAGAATCGAATGAGGAAAACATATCTACATGAAATTAGATTTCTTTTGTGCCCCAAGAAAACTTTATTCATAAAAAGCAGGCTGGATTTGACCCGTGAGATATGATTTGCCTCTCTTGGTTTTGTGGGGGACAGGGTGTAATTAGGGGTCAAATGCTATATGAAATTTTTATCTGATTTTCTGTACCTTTCAAAAGGTTTAGATATATTCTATGAAAACATGAGGGATTTTACATGCATGAATAAAATAAAATGCTGCAGGCCATTAGGATCATTTAAAATAGCAGAGGAACAAAACTTAATGGATAAAGCCATATGAGATCCAAAGAATTTGTGGGTCCAAATAAAATTATTGCAATGAAATCCATTTTTACCCTATATCCTAAAAACTTTTAAGTAATACAAAAATTACATTTAAAAGTCAATCTATTTGGAATTGGAAAAACAAGCTCTCTTTTATCTGTTTGAAACAAACTTTATTTTTAACACATTAAATAAAAGTAACTTAACTCAAAATCACAATTGATTTCATATATACCTTCAAATATTGGCTATAAAATATACCTAGCATTCAAAACCTAAG